GGCATTTTATAAATGTTTTTATGGATTTTTTGCTAAATTTTTAGAATAAAATGCTCCATGTAAAGCCCATCAAATAATTTTTTGCTAGTACAGAACTAGAACTAAAAAGACATTCAAAATTTTTCATCTTGCACTGATCAGGACATTTCACAAGAATGCAAATTCAAAGGGTAAATAAACCTTCGCTTGAGAGGAGAATACTTGTTGGCAGTGATGGAAAATATACCCGTAATGCCGAATGATAGTTAGTGGACTGTTTGTTTACATTTTAAAGCCAATTTAGGATTGCCAGTCAACGCACATGCATACTACATGTATTGGTACACAAGATCCTGTCCTTTGCAGACAGCTTGTGTATTCTCACTCTGCCTGATTCAACTCAACAAAATGGGTGACAGCCAGTCACTGATTTATTTCTCCGGGTAATATCCTGACCAATCGGGGTCAACCTTCCTGGTTTAAATTCAAACAAATTCAGTTATATCTCAGTCAACATTACTGCATGTGTTTTCTTTGGCAACACCTGCAATACTAAAGCTCAGCTATTAAAATGGCATCATGTAGAGCTTAACTGTGTGGTCAGAGTTTTTGTTATATTATATCCTCTTGATAATTTTGGCTATTTACGTGATGTTTCTACTGGTTTTGGAACTTTTTTATTTTGGCCTGATGATGGCTTCACAAATGATCCCATCATTATTTAGCATCAAAACATCATAAATTTCCAACAGGAACTGATTAAATGATGAGGATGAGGGCTTTTGCAGGTTACTCTTCTACCCACCCCACCCTGTCCCAACAATTTTCTGAAAGCTTGAAGGCATCAAGGCCAGTAGCATTCCAACTGATGCCACAGCTGACTTGGTATGGATAACAACTCAAATGTGGCTTCTACTTTGTGTAATTTAGTGGTTTGCTTGAAGAACTACCTAGAAGCCTATCTGTTCAGATAGAAAAATAGCTAAATGTTGTGGTAACATTTTTACTTCACTTTAAAAATACTTTATTTGAAGTTTGTTTCTTTTAAATAAAAAAGCACTGCTTTTGTATTTTGGGTGATGTCACCAAGATTTTGCTGGTTTTGACCAAATTTGAAGACTCATGTCAAGCGAGAGTAAGCTGAGGTAGGGATTTCTGTATAACGTTATAAGCAGATGTTTGAGTGCCTTTACTGGATGGGATTCATACGTTGAGAAATATATGCCAAGGAATAGATCATTTTATCTTGTCTATTGTGCCCTACCATTTAGTCAAACTATAGCTGATCTGTATTTTAACTCCACATACCCACAGTTGCTCCATATCCCTTAAATCCTTTTAATTAACAAATCTATTCATCTATGCACAATCTTCATGCAGACAAAATCTTCTTGAAAAATAATTTCCCAGGAAATGGCTGGGGAAAAAAAATTTCAAGACCAAGTTTTCATGTTTTAACATATCGGAGGAAGCAAGCAAAATCAAGGTAGATTAAACGTAATTTTTGTATTTGGTATTTGCTGCCTATTACCTGATTAACATAAGTGAAGTACTTCATGGCACGGATTTACATTGTGCTATGCTTCTGGCAGCCGCAGAGCCTTGAATGTTAAAACCTAAACTGTTCCTGACCTTGCAACCTGTTCCTTTTCACCTTTCAAAATCGGGGTAAGTCTCCCAATATCTTTTGAAAGTCTATTCAGTTGGTCTTCTCAATATCCCTGAACTGACATCAAGGTCCACACTGATGACTCCTTCTTTTGCTTAAATCTTCATAAAATCTGTTTCTTTGGATAGAAAAGCAGTTCTTACCAGCATCCTGCTTGGTGACTAACACACACAACAGTTTTCTGCCTTTTACAGCTTGTTTCAGATCCCCTCTCCGATCTCTTAGATTTGATACCTTTCCAGGAAGAACAGCTGCTTCTCTTTTGTGTCAAGGTATGAAAACTTGCAACTTAATTTTTTTTTGTTTAGACAAAGGTTTCGGCTGCAGATCACACAAGGCCAGTATTCAGATTAAAATAGATCACTCACCAAGCCCCTAGCCAAAACATTAAGCTTACCTTAAATCTATAGGAGACTGTGTGTTTCTTGTGAAGTCTCATATTCACAACTATGACAGATTCAAACTTTAAACATTGACCAAACATCACTTGCTGTTTTGCAAAGATTTCTAAGCAGAATTCTACAATTGCTTCACTGCTTAAAAGTCTGGCTCAAAATTGAAGGTTTTTGCCCTCTCGTGCTACACTGCTCAACCATTGGAAATAGTTTCCTTCCATCTACCATTTAAGTTCCTTTTAATGTTTTCATCCCTTAATCTGCGAAATTCTCTAGAATATAATGCTAGTTTGTATAATTTATCATTTCAATTTAAGCATGGTTCATGTATCATTTTAGTAATTTTAAAAATAGGGAAGTTTTGTTACAACTGTCCAGAATGTTGGTGAAGCCACACCTGGAGCAGTGTACAGTTTTGTCCGTTTTAAGAAAGGGTGTAATCATGTTTAGAGGTAATTTAAAAGGGATTCACTAGGCCAATTCCCATGAAGGGGGTAATTCTATACTGTGCTTTTCTTATGGTCAATATGTTCTTCCTAAGATGTATTATCCAGAAGGCTTCACATTAAAAGGGTTTTGTGTAGCTGTAGCATGAGGTCTATCCATTTGTATTCTAATTCTTGAGAATGCAATTTATCCTTGTCATTGCCAAACTTGAATCTGTGATTTCCAGCCCCGTCATCTATTGGGGTTGGGGGGCGCTGGTGAAATTCACAGTTGATTTCCCAATATATTGCTGAGATATGCTGCTGTTAACGTTCTGCTGTTTAGAATAGCAGACCATTATCTTTTACATGGCTGATCTCCTAACCGGGTCAATAATTTGCCCTCAATTTCATTACCACCTTTTAGAGTTTCGACATGTGAGCTAACAGTCTCTCAGGGATTTTATGTAATGTAAAAACCCCGAGAAAATGGAGCAAGCCATTCAGCCTTTCAGACCTGCCTTGTCATTGGATAAGATTGTGGCTGATCTGTCCCAGGCTATGCTCCTCTTGTTGGACCAGCTCCTCATTGCTCTCAACAACCTGACATTTCAAAAAGCTCCTTCTCTTTAATACTTTGATCTAGCCTCCAAAAATCTCTGGGGTAGAACATTCCAGCCATTCATTATACTCTGGCAGAATTAATTCCTTTGCATCTCTGTTTTAAATGAGTGAACCCATTCTCTGTAATTGTACCTCCTAGTTTAAGAATTCCTTATTAGTGGAAATGACTTCTCAACGTCTATCCTGTCAAATGCCTCACAATCTAGCATGCTTCAATAAGATCAGCCCTCCTTGTTCTAAACTGTAATGAAAGAAGTCTGAACTTCTTTAGTCATGCTTGATAAATCAACCCCTTCATCATGGGAATTGGCCTAGTGAATCCCTTTTTAAATTAGCTCTAATGTGATTACATCCTTTCTTAAAAGGACAAAACTGTACACTGCTCCAGGTGTGGCTCCACCAACATTCTGGACAGTTGTAACAAAACTTCCCTATTTTTAAATTCTATTCCTCTTCAATAAAGAGCAAAATTCAATTTGTCATTTTAATTGCTTGCAGTATGTCATTATTTTTGTTTTATTCATGAGAACACCCAGATTCCACTGCACTGCACTACTTTTGAGTCATCTATTTAACTAATCATCTACCTTTTGAGTCTTCCTATCAAAATGTTTGACCTTGTACTTTTCTGTATTATACTCCATGTGTCAGGTTTTTGCCTACTTACTTAACCATTCATATCCTCTTGCAGATTCCTTCCTTCCTCATCATAGCTTACTGTCTGTCCTATTTGTATAGTCAGCAAATTTATATATATTACACTCAGTGGAGCAGTCTTAATGAGAGCCCTGTGGTTTAAGACTCTCCCATAAGAGGAAATAACTTCTCAGCGTCTATTCCTGTCAAGCCCCCTAAGAATCTTGCATGGTTGAAAAGACTGCCTCTCATTCTTCTAAATTTCAATGAGTAATAGGCCCAATCTCCTTGACTAGTCCTCATAAGAAAATACCTCCAATCTGGTGAACCTTCTGAACTACCTCTGATACTAGTGTAATTTTCCTTCTGAAAGGGGACTGAAACTTTGAGTTCAAGGTGTTATCTGACCAGTGCCTTGTCTAGTTTTAGCAAGACCTCCCTATTTTTATATACCATTACTTTTGAAATAAGTAAAGAAGTCTTTATCATTATTTTCTGACGCATGTTGACCTGGGGCCCTGCGTACAACTCTTAACTCCAGCCTTAAATCTAGAGTCCCTTCTGTGCTGCATTATTCCAATTGACCCAGATCCATGTTGGCTATTTTAAGAAGTTCTTTTCTTTAAAATTTTTCCTTATGTAATCTGCTTGACTAGCTCAATGTAGCCTCTGCATTGAATCATTTAATCATGAAGTCTACTCTTCTTTCTCGGCTACCAGATCCCTATTTTTCGTAGACCTAATGATCTGTCATGTGTAGTTCCTAGCCCTGACTTGCAGTCAGTCTTTGTAATGGCTACTGTGTCATCACCTTCCACATGGAACTTGTGCGTGCATTTTATTTTTCCTAATCTATTCATTTGTGTAATGAACACTTGCTTTGGGCCATAACCTTGCCAGTCCTGGTCTAATGTTTTTTTTATTTTGCTCCCTCATTTTAATAACACTCTCTTTATATCTTGTCATTTTCCCTGCAGTGTCTCATTGCTTGACTTGTTTTAGAATTATGTTTGCTACTTTGATAATGGAGTCCTTTTGTAAGCCCCTACTTATCCTTTTCCTTAGGGCCCTAGTGGAGTCCTTCCAAATGGAATGTTTCATTGGACATTGGCACAAGAAAATGGAACCCCTCTTTGTGTTCATCTTCCTAACTTAATCATCCTTTGGGCTGCTGTGATTATTAGTAATTTGAAGATTATAAACCTTGTACTTCTTTCTTTAAATTTAGTCTCCTGTGTTGTGGTATCCCTACATACATGGGGATTTCTGTGCAGCGGTGGATACTTTTGCTATAGAAGTATGCCAGAATTAGTTTCCACAGGTATGTAGGCAGTGTTCAGATCCTGCCAGTTTATAAGTATTGTTTTTGAGGTTTGTATCCCCCAGGGATGAATTAATTAAAGAAAAATACTGGAGGATTTTAAAGCAGTAATCCAGGTAATAGAGGAAGCACTTCAGAGGAGATCTATGATCTAGTGTTAAAGACTAATGAATTTTAGATGAAATGCATCATGATCAGTTGCAGTTTTAATTAGGACCAGATCAGGGATGAAAGACTGGAGAAATTGAAGTATGGCTTTTTTAAAATTGTTAACTTGGATTTAGAAGGTAATATGTTCCAGAGCCTTGATGAGGATAGGAGGATTGAGAAAGGGTAGTGTTTTCGCAAGGTTGGTGACACTGGGAATATCCGAGGAGAACATATGATTTAAAACATCAGCTAACATAGTGGCCAAAATGGGAAGCTTGGTTGCAACGGATTAGTAATAATGGGATTGATTGGTGATTGAAAAGATGGTCAATTACTTTGTATATAAGAAAGTGGTGCTGTTAAAAAGGTGAGATGGTATTTGAAAATAGAGAAATGAAAATCAGGTAAATCAGAAACTAGTCTGGAAGAGGCTCAAGGGTGTAGCTGGTAGACTTAACCAAGGAATTGAAGATCGAAATGGAAGGATGTGAATAAGAACAATTTCCATTTATATAGCACCTGAATCGTTCATAGCATTCTGAAACAGTGTTTGACGTTAAGCCGCACAAGATATTTGCATGAATGACCAAGAGATTAGTCAAAGAGGTAGGTTTTGAGCTTTTTTTTTGAAGGAGAAAGGAATCCCATCATTTGAAGACATGGTCACCAGTAGTGGAGCAATGAAAATCAGGGATGCACAAAGGACCAGTATTGGAAGAGTGCAGATATTCTGAGGAATTGTAGCTTGAAGAATTACAGATGGTGTGAAACAAAACCATGGAGGAATTTGTAAACTAGGACAGCAATTTTAAAACCAAGGCATTGTTGGACCACAAATCAGTAGTTTAGCTCATAAAGGTGAAGAGTTAATAGGGTTTGGGGTGCGTTTGAAATTGCGCAACAGTTTTTGGTTGAATTCTACACAGGCTTGCACAAATAGAGGTAGTATTACAATAGTCAGAAGACTTAAATGACCTAAAACAATTGGAAAGAACAGATTTTCAGGTTATCAGGCTATTTCCAGTTAGGTGCTGGTACTTTAAGAGTGTCAGCCTTATGAAGCTACAACATAAGACTGCATGCTTGCCAAGCAATATAACCAGCAAATGATAAAGCTGTCATTTGCACAATCAATGGTTGAGGTCTAAACTCAGTCCTGTCACATCCAGTCACGAATAGTGTTAGACAATTAAAGAATTTGTTAGAGCACGGGGAGGATCCACAAGTATCCCCATCCTCCATATTGGGCGAGCCCAGCGCGTCAGTGTAAAAGATAAGGCTGAGACATTTGCAGCAGTCTTCAGCCGGAAGTGCCAAGTAGTTGATCCATCTTGGCAATGAGGTCTCCAGCATCGCAGACACCAGTCTTTCAGCCAGTTCAGTTCACTCCTTGTGATATCAAGAAATGGCTGGAGGCACTGAATACTGCAAAGGCTATAGATCCTGACAATATTCTGGCAACAGGATTGAAGTTTTGTGCTCCAGAACTTGCTGCACCCCTAACAGATGTTCTAGTATAGCTACAACACTGGCACATTGCCTGGGTATGTCCTGCTTATGCAATCTTACCAATTGCTACTCCATCTGCCTACTCTTGACTTCCATCACTTTGATAATGATCTTCATCAACGGTGCTTAGCAGTTCGGGTTTCACCATGTCCACTCCGCTCTTGACGTCATTACAGCTTTGGTACAAACATGGACATCAGAGCTGAACTTCAGAAGTGAGGCAAGAGTGACTGTAGTCCAGGTCAAGGCCATGTTTGACTGACTGACATCAAGGAGTCCTAGCAAAGACTGTGTCATTCAGAATCGGAGGTAAACTCACTCTCCTGATTGATATGTGGCATAGGGTGATTGTTATAATTATTAGAGGTCACTCCCCTTTTTTTATTGAAATTCAATGTATGAAAAATTTGGAATACTTCCATTTTCTCATCCAAGTTGTCTAGTCTTATTCTAATAATTTGAACTGGTTTGGAGTACTAGCGTGCAAGTTTGATGTAACCTCCCTGTTAAATTACTATGTTGGAACCGTACAAAATGCTGGTTAGGCCTCAGCTGGAGCACTGCATGCAGTTCTGGTCGAATGTTATAGGAAGGGATGATTGCACACCCACACTTGAGGGTGTAGAGAAGATTTACCAGGACGCTGCTTGAGCTATGAGGGATACGCTGAGATTGTTTTCCTTTGAGCAGCGAAGGTTAATAGGGGAACCGGATAGAGGAATATAAGATTGAAGGGCAGAGATAAGATGGATAGGAAGGCACTTTTTCCGCTAGTTAGTAACTAGGGGGCATAGATTTAAGGTACAGGGTAGAAGGCTAAGCGGAGAGTTGAGAAATGTTTTCACCTAGAGACTGGTGGGAGTCTGGGGGACACTGCCTGAAAGGGGGTTTGAGTCAGAAATACTTCTTCTAACATATTTTAATGCAGTATTTGGATATTCACGTGTGTTGCTATTGTTGTCTGGTGCAGATGTGAAGAGTCTATTGGCTCCCTTGTTTGCAGTAAGCATCTATGAATCTACAAATATGTATACCCGGTGAAACAAGAGCTGTGTTGATTGTTTAGATCATTGCTGTTCGTCAGCTCCGTTTATTCGCCTTATTTCCATTTCTCTTGAGACTCTTGCCTAACAAAAATTTGAGTGCTAACTTAAGTCTAGCAGAATTAAAAAAAAACTTCTGCACAGCATTACATAACCATCTGTAGCTAATAGCTGTTGTCATCACCTGTTATAATGAAGTTGCATTTTGCTTTTCATTTCTGGGTGCATTTGGAGCAGAAATACATAAAAGGAATCCTAATTTGAATTTGTTCTTGATTTCCACCTTTTTTGTTGTGCATCATTGCGTGTCAAAAGTCTGAGTTTTTTTTTTCTAAACTGCTTCTATTCTGAAGAAATAAAGCTAATAGATGAGCCACTCGGGCAGTTGGAAGTCTACTATAAAGAAATGTTTTCTGTTCCTAGCTGCAGTAAAGTGCAACATCACTTCCTAAATCTGAAGTTATTTTAAAATTTCAATATTGATGCTTCCTTCAGAATTGGATTAACACTCAAATTCTGACAAAAAGGTCACAAACCTAAAATGTTAACTCTTGTTACCCTCTCAAAATGCTGTCTGACCGGAGTATTTTCAGCATTTTCTGATTATATAATCAGCTTATCTAGTCTGTCTGCAAATACTGGCACTGCATGAATCACTTGGCTTTGGATTAAGCAGAGTTTTAAACTGCGTATCAGTACACAGATGTTTAGGATGATAATTAAAATACTGTATTTGTTTATACATTATGGCAAGTACAAACTGTGAATACTCTTGGTCATTTAAGCTGATCTTTTGAAAACAACAAAAAGCATATTTAGACTTTTTGCACTGGCAAGTGATTACTCGCAGCATTTGTGTATCTTTTGGATAAGTGTTTGTACTTTGTTTGAAATATTCATCTTTTATTGGATAGTTGATTGTATTGTGCGCAAATGTATTCTTAATATGCTCCCAAGTGGTTTGTCTGGTTCAGTGCAATCAAATAGTTATAGCAGATTTTTCCAAGATTAAAACAAATGTCTGCAAAGGCTTGTATTGTCACAAAAAGTTTCTTGGAGAAAAATGCTTACTGTAATCAAACTTATTCTTCAATAGGGTGATGGCCGAAGTCACCTAGTCTCGGAGTGTCTGGGCCTGAGCCAGAACTTGGATCTGTCAGACACCATGGTGCAACAGAAGCTGGACGAAATCAAGGATTCAATCAAGCGAGAGATACGGAAGGAACTTAAAATCAAGGAAGGAGCAGAGAACCTCAAGAAGGTCACAACTGATAAAAAGAATCTAGCTTATGTGGAAAATATGTTGAAAAAGTCAAACAAAAAACTAGATGAGCTTCATCAAGAGTTGCAGGAGCTGAATGCACACATTGTTGTGAAGGATCCTGAGCTGGCAGGTAAATTATGTACAGTGCCATACTTTAATGATTTTTTTAAAGTTTGAGCTGAAAATGTGTAATGTTCATGGACCCTTAAACAAGGAATGTGAAAAGTAAGAATTAATTTCAACAGCAGCTACAGTACAAGTTAACAAGTAGTGTGTTTATGAATGTAACTTGAGTTTTGAAAGACGGCTGCTGTGCCAACCTTTCCTCACGGCTTACCCTATTTACATTCTCAGTTGGTGACATTTGTTATCAGATGGCAGTTAAGAGCAGAGCTGGCAAAAAAAACTATGCAAATGAGTCTGCTGCTGACAGAACAAAATCATTCAAATCTTTTTCTCTTTCCAAGTGTAACTGGCAAACTCATGAATTAATTAACTGCCCATTCAAAATGCAGCAGTAAATGTTAGTTGTTTTAAAAGCAGTTGTTCAAAAGGCAAATAATTGTGTTCTGTAATTGTGTGCCACCTCTTCACTAATTTAACATATCTAACTAGCCAGATTCAGTTGGGTGCAATTTTCGGCAGTATCTGCTATTGGATGTTAGTACAGAAAGTGAATATCCGCCATTGTGCTGCATAGGTAAGTTAGGTTTATGATCCAATGTGGCCAATTTTAGGTTATTATGCATTATACAGTGCACTCCCACACTGAGAGAACAAACAAGAGTGAAGCTCCTAGATTTCAACTAATGTAGCTGTATAACATTGCCATAGAGTATCTAACAAGATGGACCTGTAGTTTCCTTCCTTCCTTTTCTTTCAAACCTCAACAGCTCCCCCCAAAATGGGTGGGAATTGTGGGAAGCACTTGGTTCAGTTTTAATTTCACTTGGTTGTATGAAGATATTCTATAACTTCATCGTCCAGTGATGTGGAATATGGACAGTGCTGGTTAACATTTTCATTTAGCTGAAAATGTCATGGTCCAGCTGTATTGCAGTATCTACATATGCTTTGTTTTGAGTACTTTATTTCCAGTTTTCTGTATTTTTTCTAAGATGCTAGTTGTAGTAAACAATTTCTCTATACCAGTTTATAAATTAATATTCAAACTTGTAAAATAAATCCCCAGGAAGGTTTTTAGTGCTTTTCTTACCTGTGTTATGTGTTATACCTTGATGTAAGTTTGTACTGTGCTTGTCAGTTCAGTGGTTTTTTGCCGAGACAGATTTAACTGCTGTTCTTCCACTACTAAAGAAAATGAGGATGGAAGTGGTTTCAACAACAAAAGCAATATTGTGTGCAATTTTTTGATTGAGCCTTGTGGGGAACTATTTTACATTGGTTATAATTATGGTTTAACAAGTTGTTCGCAGTTTGAAGTAATTTTGATTTGGATTGTCGTATGTCTTTGGATAACATACAGATATGATTGCTAATGCTAGTAATTGAGATTGAGAAAAATATTGGGTGGTCATTTGGGCTCTGTACCCCACAGTAAATTTGAATGGTTCACTAAAGTCCTCTAGGGAAGGAAACTGCCATCCTTACCTGGTCTGCTGCATGTAATTCCAGACCCACAGCAATGTGGTTGACTCTTAACTGTCCTCTGGGCAATTAGGGATGGACAATAAATGCTGGCCTTGTCAGTGATGCCCTCTTCCTGCGAATGAATAATTTTTTAAAAAAATGCACTGATCCCAACTTTACTGCTAGCTGTAAGAAGATCAGTCGGAAAAGTAAAAAGGAAAAGTTTTATCTGTGCCTTTTTTCTCTAAAGTAATGGTCATGCATATTCTTTCTGATGCTAGGTACAGAATATCAGTGCAGCATTTCTGATGAAAGTCCTTTTGTGCAAATTTTTGATTTGAGGTTAGATGTTGCTATATGGAGTAATTGAGTATTAAATTGAAGCTGACCTGTTCAGCTGTTTGAGTAAACTGTATCTCTAGGGTGTGTGTTTTTTTTTTCCAAGTTTTTATGTTTTCTCATGCCCTGCTTCTCCTATTTGTAGTATTTCACAGGGGAGACAATAACCATTTTCCTTCCAAACACCTATCAAGAAACCATTACCATTTACTCAGCAATTGCTGTTTGGTATTTTCCCAAATGTTTTGCAAAATTCAAGCTGGAGGGGTGGGTCTCTTGTGGTACACTGGTAGACATCCTGCCTCTGAGCCAGGTGCTCTGGGTTCAAATCCCACCCATTACAGTGGTGTGAAATATCATCTCTAATCATACTGCTCAGAAAATACCAAATCCATGCCTACCTTGTTTAATTGACACCGCATAAACAATCTTGAGCTATTGATTGTCTTGCTCCTAACCAACAAATCTTAACATTGTCTTTTAGACTTAATAGTTAAGGATGCCACTTGTAAGGTATAAATTTGATCTATTTTCTGGCTGTAAAATGCCTGATTTCTCTCCCTTTGAATCTGGCTTCAGTGTAATCAATTAATGATTTCTGTTTAGTTTTGTAAATATGCAGCCAAAAATCTATCTTTCAAAATGAGTGTCTTTTTATATACTTTCTTTCTGTCATGAAGCTTTCAAAGTTACTGTCAACTCCAATGACCATAACATGAGCATTTCTCAAAAACAAAGAGACTTTTATAATAGTTAAGAATCCCAGTCAGTGACGACAAAAGGCTGAAGTAACAACAAATAGAACATATATTGGCAGCAGCATAAATTTAACTCTTTATAGAGATTCCCCAGAGATTTGACATCAAGGAGGATCATGCTGACCAAGCAATAAGGTTTTCAATTAATCCAGCAACCAATCTGACTTGCAGTGGTTCCCATGTTAAACATTTGCATGTGTAGTTTGAGAAGTAGCAGTTGTAAGTGTAAAACTGGTAAAAGATTTCAATGTTCGGTAGAAATGCTGCTGAAATAAACTTTAACATCTGATATATAGAAGTGGACCTAAAGGGATTTCACGACTACAATGACTTGATAAAATTGAAATAAAGCCGTAAAACAAAATGATTAAAATGGGTTTTAAAAGAAGGTCAAAAAGCAGATGGTTTAGTAACGACCTTCCAGGTTTAATGTATATTTCATTTATTAAATATTTTGTACTCACAAATGACTGTGCTTTTCATAACCAAAGCAATTTGCAGCTATAAAGTATTTGTTAAATCTCTCTTTCTCTACACCATTGCATTGTACATATTACATTACAATGTCCCAATCCAAAATCACTTTTTGTAGTTAATTTACTTGTAGCATTGCATATGAGTAAAATGCAATTGGCATCCATTGGTTTTTTATTCAATATTCTATCATCTTTAGGAAATACTGATTGTAAATTAGCTACAGAGATGGGAAGGGATGAGACTAAGCAAGGAAGTGAACACATTGCCTTAAATTTTAAATTATCATCATTTATGGGAGTATGTGCCAAGATGCCTCAACAGGGAAAGGGGTAACGGGTAAACAGGGTTTTTTCAACTTTAGAATCTGGGAAGCAGAGTTTTGGTTAAGCACAATTTATGAAGCATGAAAAACTAGTTCAGTGGATTGGAATAACTGAATCTGAAGGTGACACAAGCATTGCTGACAATTTTGGTATCAGTCTAATATGGGTATGCAGAAGTGATCTTACAGACATGAAGTCACCAGTCTTTTAGTGGAGAGCATATGAGGTCTGAGGCTTCACTCTGTTAAACAGGGCAATTTGCTAACAGTCTAGCCCACAAACGTGGCAAACAAGTGAGTGGAATTATAAGCTAAGAAGCGGAGTTTGCACGAATGGGTCAGTGGCTTTGATCTTCCCACTAGTTTAATTTCAGAGGAAATTTCTGCTGTTACTATACTGAATGGCAGACAGCAGTCTTTCTCAGGCTGTAACTTATCAGTAAAGTTTGAATAAAACAAGGGTTCTCACTAAACTGAACAAAGGAGATGTATTGAATGAGGTTGATGGCAGAGAGTGGAGAAAGATGAGGCAAGGTTGTGCACTATGGTTATAGTTGTGTAGGATGACACTTGGAAATGATTAGGATTGTTTTAGGATTGTTTTAGGACTGTGACGGGGGAATCCTGAGCAGAAGAAAACAAAGCCTTGTACTATATATACTCAGCCACCTGGAGCGTTGGAAACAAAGGTTTCCCTTTTCATACGCCAAGGTAATTGAAACTGTCTAGGAGATCAAATGAGTTCTGGTTTATGTTGCAGAATGCCTACTAATTATGGTAACTTCTTTCCTAGTCAGAAATGGGACAACCTCTCACTTTAAGGAATATAGTGAGCTAGGAACCTACTTTTCCCATAGACCAATAACCCCTACAGTGTGGAAACAGGCCCTTCAGCCCAACAAGTCTACACCAACCCCCAGAGCATCCCACCCAGACCTATTTCCCCAAACCCACCTAATCTACACATTCCTGCACACTATGGGCATTTTAGCACATCTTTGGACTGTGGGAGGAAAACCAGAGCACCTGGAAGAAACTCACGCAGACACGGGGAGAATGTGCAAACTCCACACAGACAGTTGCCTGAGGCGAGTATCGAACCCTGGCGCTGTGAGGCAGCAGTGCTAACCACTGAACCATTGTGCTGCCCTTGGTAGGATATGGAAGGAAAGGACAAGAGTGGCTGCATGATATCAAACTTGGTTCTGCCCTTAATAGGAATTTGGCAACATGATCACTGGTCTTTGCCCTATTCTATTAATATAAAATTGTCATACAAGAGCAATTATTTTATGTATTTAAATCCAGATGAATCATATCACCTGTAATGTTCTGTTTTTCTAAAGTTAGAGATTCAACTTGTTGAACCTATTTAGATAAGGGTTTAAAATTGCAAGAGGATCTCAAAAATCAAATCTACAAAGTTCATGTGAGAATGTGAAATCTGGGTGCCTAATAAAGATCAGGTACAAAGTAGAATCTTTGTCCTGCAGCTGCAACCTGGAACCCTGTGCATTTCAGTTAAGTTTTGTGGCATTAGTCATGGACGTTAGAAAAATTAATCCACTATTAAATCCAGGTTTTTCCTCTTCCAACATTAACTTGCACCCTGCAAGGAATGAATGGATGTTTAGAAATTGACCT